ATTTACTTTTTGCGACAGGGCTTCTCACTTAATTTGGAGCTGATTGGCCATACTGGCTAGCCAGCAAGAAATTCTTGTGTCTGCTCCTTAGTCCTGGCATTTCAAATGTATGACAAGGGCAGTGCTGGACTTTTCAGGTGGATACTGGGGATCAGAATCAGGTGTCCCTGCTTGTACTTTATTGACTGAGCCACCTTCCCAGCCTCTGCCACCTGTTTTGATGACAGAGTCACACTATGACTAGGTTTAAGTAAGATCTGTAAATGCTAAGAAGAGGAGAAATATCAATAAATTAGTAATATTTATAAAAAAGGCAGGGAGGAGGTGGTAGCACCCCTACACCCAAAGGTCATTTGACATGTTCTTGACCTCTCAGTGCTCGGTGAGTTTGTAAAGTACTTTGAATTTGAGAAGCTTCTGCTGTCCCCAGTTAGTCACTCTAACCACAGAGAGGTTTCTCTTCTTTCAGCACCCATTTTAAGACCAAGTCGGCTAATGATTAAGTAAATATCAGTCGGCTGACTTCCTGTTCCACCAGGTTTGGCCTTGTTTTTTGAGCAGCTCCACTAGAGGGCGACCTGGTCTTTTGGGGAAAGGATGGCAAGTTTTCATGTGGGGGGTGGTCCTTCACAGCCTCTCTTTGGTTGCAACAGGAGCCTAGTGATTGTGGGAGCTCAGTCTTCTGAAGTGACCGATGCCCTCACAAGTGTTTGCACGCTGTAAGAAAGAAGCATTTCCCATGTAAGATAGAAGGGAGAAATGTGCTAATTTATCTAGGGACTTTAAAATGTGCTTATTAGAAAACAGTTAAGTAGTGATGAAATATTCTAACTCTCATGTCGTAGGTTTTTTTTTTTTTCTTTTGAGACAGCATCTCATGTAGCCTAAGCTGATCTGGAATTCACTCTATAGCTGAGGAGAAACCTGAATTCCATGCCTCTCGTATGACTGTTGGGATCTACAAGTGAGTACCACCACACCCCATTTTATATAGAACTTGGATTGAATCTAGGGCTTCATGCATGCTAAGGAAGAGTTCTGCCAGCTGAGTTATATCCCAAGTCATCTTACATCCTTAGGGATTAGATCTGGGGACACTGAGGAGGACAGGATAGATGACTCAGTGGTTGACAGCCTTGGCTGTTCTTTTCGAGGACACAGCATCCACATGGCAGCTCCCAACCATCTGTCACTCTGATTTTGAAACATATATACACAGATACATGTGCAGGCTGAGCAGCCATACACATAAAAAAGAATCGTGTGTGTGTGTGTGCGCGCGCGCGCGCACGCGCACGCGCACGCGCACGCGCACGTGTGCCCATGAGTGTGTGTTTTGTTTTATAGAAGAAGTAAAACCTGTACCCCTATTTTAGCGTGTACAGTTTTGGGGTCTGAACCCAGGGCTTTGTACATGCTAAGCAAGTATTGTATAACTGAATTACATCTCTAGTTCTTTTTTTTTTTTTTTTCACTTTTGAATTTGAGACAAGGTCTCATTGATTGCCCAGGATGGCCTGAACTTGCAGTCCTTACATCTTGTCCCTCTAGGGGCTGTAACTGCAGGCATGCACCACCTCATCCATCTACTAACCCTGACTTTGGACGGTAAGTGCCATAAGATTATCAAGTATTGTAGTAGTTGAATGATGAATGTATCCCTTGATCCAGGCAGTAGTGGTGCACGCCTTTAATCCCAGCACTTGGGAGGCAGAGGCAGGCAGATTTCTGAGTTTGAGACTAGCCTGGTCTACAGAGTGAGTTCCAGGACAGCCAGGACTATACAGAGAAACCCTGTCTCAAACAACAACAACAACAACAAAAAAAAACCCAACAAAAAACCAGACAAATGTATCCCATTATCTTTGGTATCTGAATACTTGATGCCCTGGTGGTGAAACTCCTCTTTGGGTAGGTTTAGAAGGTGTGGCCTCATTGGAGGAAGTGGGTCACTAGAGGCTGGCTCATGAGTTAAATTTGACCAGAGCCCGTGCTGTCCCCACTTCCCAATCTCCGCTTCTTTCTGTTCAAAACGTGAGTGCTCGGCTCGTGCTCCAGCTGCCACACCTCCATTCTGCCCCCATCGTGGACTTGCTTATTTTGTTTGGTTTTGTTTTTTTCAAGACAAGGTTTCTCTGTATAGCTCTGGCTGTCCTGGAACTTGCTCTATAGACCAGGCTGGCCTCGAACTCAGAGATCCTCCTGCCTTTGCCTCCTGAATGCTGGGATTAAAGGTGTGTACCACTACCACCAGTTATTTATACATTTGATCTTATGTGTATCTTGCCTGCATATACAGGTACACACTAGATACACATTTCACATACACTGAGATCAGATGAAAGATAGGAAAGTAGAGTTATAGATTATTGTGAACCACCATGAGGGTGCTGGGAATTGAACCTGGCTCCTCTGCAAGAGCTTCGAGTACACTTAACTTCCCTCCAGCCCCCAGCATGAGCTCTTATCCTTCTGGAATTGGAAACCCAAATAAAGTCTTTTGTAAGTTGTCTTGTCATGGTGTTTTATCACAGCAATAGGAAAGTAATACAGGTGTTTCATTTTTCTTTAGCACTGGAAAGGTCTAGAAAGAATGACAGATTATGAACTAGTGCACAGATCATGTTTTATTTGCTATTTTTATAAATTTTACTATGTATGTACATGTGCCTGTGTGAATGTGTATGTGCATATGTGCGTGTGATGTGTGTATGTGCGTGTGAATGTGGAGAGTTAATTCTCCTATGTGAGTCTCAAGGATTGAATTCAGGTTGTCAGGCTTGACAGCAAGGCATCTGCATCTACTGAGCCATCTTGCCAGCCCTGTGATCTATTTTTTTGAGACAAGTCAAAGTTGGGTGTGATTTCTGGTGCCTGTAATCCCAGCACCCAGGAAGCTGAGCCCAGCCTGGGCACCATGTTAGGCTGGTCTCAAACTCTCCACGGTCTGTGTCTGAGGTCAGATGTGTGTGCCACCATGCTCAGGAGCTTGTAGCTTTTTTTTTTTTTTTTTATTTATTTTATTTTATTTTATTTTATTTTTTTGGTTTTTCGAGACAAGGTTTCTCTGTATAGCCCGGGCTGTCCTGGAACTCACTCTGTAGACCAGGCTGGCCTCGAACTCAGAAATCCGCCTGCCTCTGCCTCCCGAGTGCTGGGATTAAAGGCGTGCGCCACCACCGCCCGGCGAGCTTGTAGCTTTTGCATACTGTTTCCTACTGAAAGATTCCAGTTTCTTAGAGGCTGGTTGATTCTAGGTCTGGGGCATAAAATATACAAGATGTTTGTATAACAATCCATGCCAGCAGGGAAACAGGCAGGAACTAATAGGATCTTGTTAAAATGACTCAGCCAAGTTTCCATCGGCAAAGGTAGGAGAACTTGAACATTAGTACATATAATTTATTAAGTGCAAAGTGTTTAAATCTGGAAGTTCATTGTGTGTGTGTTGTTATAAGCAACTGGCTATCCTTTTGAAAGGCAGGAGGCTGGGGAATGTAGCTTTGTTGGTACAGCATTTGCCTACCTCATACAAGGCTGTGGGAGCTGTTGCCAGCATTGCATCAGCCTGGTTTGGTGGTTTTGGTTTGTTTCTGGAGATAGGAGGCAGGAGGACCAGCAATCCTCAAGGCCAGCTTGGGATACATGAGACCCTGTTTCAGAAAACAAAAAATAAGGATAATGGGAGACTAAGTCATTTTAAAGATGGTGAGTAAAGGAAAATAAGCAACAGTTGTGCAGCTCATGTCTAAAGTAGGCCACAAGGCAATGAAATAGAATAATAGAATTAATCGTCCCTTAATTGGTAAGCATGCCTGTATAAAACTTATTCCAGCTCTTACAACAGGGCCTGAGGATGTCTGTTTTGTAGATACTTGTGTATTAATTAATCCAGGCATTGAACATCCATGTCTAGACCTTCCCAAATGGCTAACTTGAAAAACAAGGAAGGAATAGAGGAATCATCTGTGAATTAATAGATTTAAAATACATATGAAATACACATAAAGTTGGGCGAAGTGGGACATGGCTGTAGTTCCAGCACTTGGAAGTGAGGGTAGACAGACAGTTTGAGATCAGCCACATAGCAAAAACAAAGCCAGCTAAAGCTATGTAGAGTGACCCTGTCTTTGGAAACAAAACAATGCTGATGATGTTGGTCTGTGTAGAACACTTCCTAGCATTTACACAAGGCGCTGGCTTCAACCCCAAACATTTTACAATTTATAAACAGGCCAGGGAAGGCTAAGTCATAGTGTGTAAGTGTCCACATTTGGGTGAGAAAACTATAAACATGCAAGGAAATGATGGCTGGTCATTGTGATTCTATCTGTGGCAAGATGGGAGGGCTGTGACAGCGATGGGGGAAGGGCTGTGATAGCAGTGGGGGCATTTGGTGTCTACCAAAGTTCTATTTCTCTGGGTAATGTTCAAGGGTGATTATAATAGCTTATTCAATTACATCTGTTTTCTGTACAATGTGTTGGCTGGGCGTTGTGTATATTCTTGTAATTCCAGTGCTTGGGAGTCGAGGCAAGAGCACGAAGAGCACCAATGTAGGCAGGGCTGCATAGTGAGACCTACCTTACAAAACCAAACTGGAATGTGAGTCAGTGGTAGACCACTTGCCAGCATTCCTGGGGCCCTAGGCTCAATACTAGTACTGCAAATAAAACAAAACTGAAAAGAAAGAATGGGAGAGGAGGGAGGGAACCAAAACTAAAGCCAAGGCTGGGTTTGGTAACACACCTATAATCCCAGCATTTGGAGGTGGAGGCAGGAGGATCAGGAATTCACTGCTAGCTTCTGTAACACATTTTGACACCAATCTGGGGTATAGGAAATCTTGTCTCAAGCAAACATACAAACTCCAAACAAAACTCAAAGCAGGCAAGTAAACAAGTCTAAAACTCAAAATATCTTAGTCATGTTTCTGTTTATCTGCCATGTGGGCCAATTTTATTGGCAAAAATCATGTTTAAGGCTAAGACATTGGTGCTGTGTAAAGGGTACCTGGAGTCCGAGTTCCCCTGCCTCTTTTCTGGGGGGCCCCATTTCCAAATCTTCTTTTCTCCTGCTCCTTTCCCTCTTAACTGCAGAGTCAGCTCCGTAAGACAGACTTAAAGGGCCAAGTCTGGTCATTGGAGTGGAGAGGAGCTACAGCTAACCGCCTAGAGCGTTGGTTTGGTCTTTGCTGCCAGTTAGAGTGCTTTACTCCACTGACTCAGTCATCCCGACAACACTGAGGTATGTCCCATTTTACAGATGAAGGGGTAGAGCCACTGTGTGCAGAAGGCACTGTGTCACTTACCCATTGCTATTTATGAAGATGAGGATCTGACTCTTAAATTATACTATTTCTTTTGACATAAGATTGTACATATTTGTGAGGTATCACATGATGATTAGATGCATGCATGCACTGTGTAATGTTCAAATTAGGATGAACTTCCCTCAAACATCATTTCTTTGTGCTAAAACAAGAGAACATTAAAAATCCTTCAGATTTTTGTTTGTTTTTGTATTTTTGAGACTAGGTCTCAGCCCTTGTTGTCCTGGAAGATCAGGCTCTGTAGATCAGGCTGGCCTCCAACTCTGAGATTCTGGAGCCCCTGCCTCCTGAGTGCTGGGATTAAAGGCCTGTCACCACGCCCAGCCCTTCAGCTCTTTCGTGCTGTTGATATCCTTAACGACCTTATAGTCCAGCAGAACATGAGACCTTAGTTGCTATAACCTTATTATAACTAAGGACCTGATCAACCTTTCCCACCTCCTCTACCGGCTGTATTTTTGTGTGGTGTGTATTCCGTTGCTGTGTTCTATCTTGTGGTCCACCCTGACCTTTAGCAAACCTTTCTTTCCTGACCAGTTTTCCAGCATTTTCTTGGTGAACATTTAGTATTTCCTCCTCTAGTTGTTTCTTCTGAGGGGTTTTCTAGTAATCCCATTTTATTTGAAGGTTTTCTTCTTTTTCTAAGTTCATATATTCATCTTGTTCCTAAGCAGGGATGTTCTCCTTAGCAAGTGCTCCAGTTCATGTGGGATCATTACTCTAGTTCTATTTTCTAACATCTTATTAATGACCTAGAGAGATGGCTCAGTGATTTAGAGCACTTTCTTGCTCTAGCAGAGAACTCAGTTCAGTTCCCAGCATCCATGTTGTCTGACAACCATCCTAGCTCCAGGTCCAGGGCATCCATTGCCGCTTCTGACCTTCAGGGCACCAGGTATATATGTGGTGCACACACATTCAGGCAGCTACATTGATACACATAAAAAAAATTTTAAATCGTATTCATGTGTCTATGTGAGTGTACACCACACATGTGCTGGCACCCTCAAAGACCAGAAAACTTGGAGCCAGAGTTATAGGTGGTTGTAAGCCACCCAGTGTGGGTACTAGGACCTGAATTCTGGTGCTCTGAAAGCGCAGGAGAGAGTCACTGAGCTCTTTCCAGTCCCTCATTGCTTATTTTCTTATTCTCTCATAATTGATTTCAGAATTCAGGCTGTTACCTTATTACTGAACTTTATTCCAAAGATTAGTAGCATGTAGAATCTTTTTCTCTTCTTAGAGACAGGGTATTTCTGTGTAGTCCTGGCTGTGCCAGAACTCCTCCTAAGTTCTGGGATTGAAGGTGTGTGTCACCATGTCAGCTCATTGTCCCAGACGTGGTGAGGCTGTGCAGTGGACATGTTCCCCAGGGGATTTAGAGAGGTAGCTCTACCTGCTTACAATTTTGCTTTTGACAAGTTGCTTGGCCTGTGTTCTTTTGTTTTCTGCTGAATTGGGGATGGAACCTGTCACTGGGTTACACCCCCAGGCTAGTTTTCCTTCATAAAGATTCACTTTAATTACGTGTATGTGTGTATGTGCATGTGAGGCGCCTGTGAATGTCAGGGTGTCAGATCTGCTGGAGCTGCAGGTACAGGTGGCTGTGAGCAGCCCATTGTGGCTGCTGAACTCCAGCCCTATTCTAGAACAGTACATACTCCTAACCACTGAGCCAATTTCCCAATGGCCTACTTAAAAAATACTTCATATTTTTATTATTGAGAATTTTCTGTATATGTAATATCGTTTGATCAAATTCACTTCCCCAGCCTATTTCCTGTCTCCCTCTGAACTTCAAATCCTTTTTTTTTTTTAAATAACCCCCTGCTTCCCATATACACAAAGATGTGGGACCATTCACTGGATAATTATTTGGTTTGTGGTTTTTTTTGTAGACAGGGTCACTATATACAATTCTCTTGCCTTGTGATAGGGTCCTTCCAAGTGCTAGGATTTTAAGACATGTTATTATGTTCAGTCCAACTCTGTATTTTGAACTGCAAAATAGTACTTTGATAATGTGCCTAGAGTACAGAGAGTGTTCTAGAAATGTTAGTTGTCTAGTGGGCCTTGGCAGCACGATTATCAGAGGTAGAGAGAGGAGGATCAGGAGTTTAAGGTTATCTTTAGCTGCACAGTGAGTCTGGACCCAGCCTGATCTACATGAGACCCTGTCTCAAGTAAAAAATAAAAAGTGTGGCTCCTGGTTCCAGGCAAGTGGAGGAAATCAGGAGGAGGACATTGGTTCTGGACTGGCTTCCTCTAGAGAAGGAGGCCTCTGAATGTCTGTGTGGAACAAAAATACTAATCCACACTAAGCGGTCTGCTGGGCTGGGCTGTGGTCTTTTTTTTTTTTTTTTTTTTTTTTGGTGGAGGGGATTGGGTCTTACTTATAGCCCCAGCTGACCTGGCACTTGCTATGTAGACCAGGTAGGCTGAAGCTCCCAGAGGTTGGGCTGCCTCTGGGATTAAAGGTGTGCATCACCATACCAGGTTACATTTCTTCAGAAGAATGCCTTTTTCCAGAAGTTCCTACTATGTGAGCCAGCATGGAGACTGATTAGAAGGAAGCCTATGAGGACACATGGAAAGTGAAAACAAACTTGTATAAAAGTGTACATCTCTTAGCAGACAGCATGGGGAGGCCTGTGGTTGGCTTCCCAACACTCACACATTTTAATGTCAGATTGTTCATGTTTTCTGTGAGCCTGGGGGTTCTCTACCCAGATGGGGGTGCTATGCTTTTGCTAGCCTAGAGCCTCAGGTCACATTTTTTGCACACGTTCTTCCAGAGCCTCGAGCTCAGCCAACACCTCGTTGGGCAGATCCTGGTTGACTTGCTCTGTCAGGTAGCTCCTAATATCACGAACCTCCTGTTCCCAGAAGTCCTTGGGGATGGAGAACAGCTGACTGGTGTCTATTGCTCTGAGGCCACTGAGATTCAGGGCTCCTTCCTTTGGTACTAGCCCAATGGGAGTCTCTTGGGCACTGTCTTCTCCTTCTAATCTTCGGCAGATCCAGTCTAGCACACGAGCATTCTCCCCAAAGCCTGGCCACAGGAAGCGGCCTGCTTCATCTCTCCGGAACCAGTTAACATGGAAGATACGAGGCAGCCGGGCACCTTTTCGTCCCTCCATGCTCAACCAGTGTTCCAGGTAGTGTCCAAAGTTATAGCCAAAAAAAGGCCGCATGGCAAAGGGATCATGCATAATGGTCTTTCCTAGGACAGGAGGGAGGGTGGGTAAGGAATCTTCCTTTCTAAGGAAGGGAAGAGTGCCCTGTGTCCTGCTGGCAGAGGTAAAAGTTCTGAACTAGCTTCAGGGAACGTAAGGAGAAGGGACGGGACAAGGACAAGGACAAGGGGCATGGAGGGTGTAAACTCACCTTTGTGTTCAGCAGCTGCAGTGGACTCAGAGCGCATGGAGCTACCTACAAACACCCCATGACGCCAGCTGAAGGCCTCATACACCAGTGGTACTCCTGGAACACCAATGAACAGGTTTATAGGCAACCTTTTTCTTCCATTTCAGACCCCACGCCCTTGCACATTCTGCATTCACTATGGGAGACATGGCTAGACAGCAGCTGGAGGTCCCAAGTGAGCAGTCCTGTGAGTTTTAAGTTCAGGAAGATGGGAGCTTGGACCTTTACTACAAAGGCACAGTGTCCACATGCTGTTCACCTTTGGGTCTGCGGCCTCCAAAGATGATGGCATCAATAGGGACACCTTCTGGTGCTTCCCAGGCTGGGTCCATGATGGGACACTGGCGAGCCGGGACACAAAAGCGAGAGTTTGGATGTGCACAGGGTTCCTTGTCACCTGGCAGGGGAAATGCAAAATGCCATCACTTCCAAGGTCATGTCCATTCTCAACACAGACATACATTTTTTCTTTTAGCTTTTCTTTTCATGATGCTGAAGCTTAACCCCAGGGTCTTACACATGAAGGGCAAGCACTCTACCACTGAGCTGTATCTCCTGCCCTTCTGTTTGCTTTCATCAGCTAATTACAACCTTGTATTGTAAATAAGGGAGAAGGGATCAGGATATCTTCCCACAAAGATCAGGCTACTTATCAATAATGGGGCTTCTAGAGAACTGTGGAAGAGGGCAGGGCACTTTGGGTACAAGTCTTAAGGAAACAGAGTTAAAATATTGGCATGTGGTTGTAATAATTTTCTTTCCAGAAACTTTTAGTTACAGGATTATTATTTACCAAATCTAGTTTTCCTAAACCAATGCAAAAACTGAGCAAGTCAGGTCAACATTTCAAAGAATGGGTTCCCATTAACAAAACAGGGAAGACAGTCTCCTGAGCCATCAAAATGCAAACAGAAAGTGCTTTTTTTACACATTTATTTACTTGTTTATTGTGTTGGGGGCTAGGGGTTGCCATGGGATGCATATGGAAATCAGAGGACAGCTTGTTCAGTTTTCTTCCTCCATGAGGGTCCTGGGAATCTAACTCAGGTCATCAGACTTGGTGGTAAGCACCTTAGCACACTGTGCCATCTCACAGCCCAGGGATTGATATGAAACCTGATAGACCTTTGATGATTTCTCTGGTCCTGCCTAGTCCCTGACAGAGTGGGTTGGTTAGGGCATGAAGTCAGTCAGGAACATAACCTGGCCAGTCATAGCCTGAGGAGCCCAGAGCACTCGGCACCTTCAGGTATGGTGGAGAGAAGCTGGGAGTCAAGTCAGCAGCACATGTGTGAGCACCGCTGGGGAGACTCAGGCACAGTGCCTTCTCCATTGAAGTGGGGAGTGGGAGCCATAGACTAACACGTCTGTCCCTGGCCCCTCCCAGCCTAGGACCCTGACCCTCTAGTTATATCAGTGAATTCAGAGTTGATGAAGGGGTTGGGACACTAGCCTGTAGGGAAGGTTATCTTTTTTGGGGGGTGGTTTCTCAGTTGGGTGGGGTGCCTGAGGGGGACTTAATGATGGTGTTAGAGAAAATAAAGGCTGATCAAACAAGGAGGCTGACTGCTAGGCCAGCCTCTAAAACTCAAGTTTGTCCTTCAGTGACCACAAGCTCTTCTTCTGCTGTTCCTATAACTGTAGAAGGCAATGGAAGGTGGGGGAGGGATGGGTCTCTTAGGCAGCCCAATAATGACAGGCTTGGGAAACCAGCCTCTAAGAAAGTCTAAAGCACTAGCCTGAGTTCATACAGGATTAGAACATTTAGGGAGGGGTGGGAAGGGTAGGGCAACTTTAGACACGGATATCATACAGGGGAACACAGGAGACAAATGACAAAGGAATGTTTGGTAGAGGACACAGGCTTCATTCTTTCCTGATGGGTCAAATGTTACTGGCCCAATTCCTCCTGTAACAGTTCTCCAAATAGTCCTCCAACATACGTTTATACTCACAGTTGCCAATGTTATACATTTGACCATAAAACTCCTTTTATGTATCATTACTCCTCCCATAACCCTAAGAGATGAGTACTATGATGAACCCCATTCAGTTGGTTGGAAAACTGGAAAACGGAAGGGAAGTTCAATAATTACTCGGATCCCCAAACAATGATTAATGGATCAGGGGCATGAACTGAAATCTTGCCTGGTGTTGAAAACTACAAAAAGCTAGGGCTCTAGAGGGTTTTCTATCATTAAAATTGCTGGGGCTGGAGACTGGCTGCTCCTGCAGAGGACACAGGTTCAATTCCCAACCCCTACATGGTGGCTCACAACCGTCTGTAATTCCAGTTCCAGGGGATCTGATAGCCTGTTTGCTACATGCATGTGGTGCAGACACACTTGTAGGCAAAACACACATCTACATTTTTTTTTTAAAAAGTGCTGAGCCCTGGGGCCTTTGTCACAATGCCTCATCCCACATACCAGGTTTCCAGGGCTTTCCCAGCCAGGAGGTTATAGTGACACCAGGTGGAAGAGGCTGGTCAATGCCTTCCCAGTACACACCGCCATCACTGGTCTCAGCCACGTTGGTGAAGAGAGTGTTACTCTGGATTGTGGCCATGGCATTGGGATTGGTGGCAGCAGAGGTACCAGGGGCCACCCCGAAGAAGCCATTCTCGGGGTTGATGGCCCGGAGTTGACCTGCCAAAAGTGGGGAAAAAAAAAAAAAGAAAGACCAATTAGGGAAGGCTGAGATGTGAGGCTGGAGGAGGTCCTTTATCCTTTTTCTAGATCTGATAGAGATCTGCAGTTGCTAGGCTAACCGAGGTATGGGACCATGTTGGCTGTTCAGGAAAAGGGCCCTTCACCTTCACTGTCAAACCTCATCCAGGCGATGTCATCCCCCACACACTCCACTTTCCAGCCTGGCAATGCGGGCCGCATCATGGCCAGATTGGTCTTGCCACAGGCACTGGGGAAAGCAGCTGCCACATAGCGCTTTTTCCCTGCAGGGTTGGTGATGCCCAAAATCTGTGTTGGAAATAGAGGGAACAGAACGAAGTCAACAAAAGTCACAGCATAATCTGCATGGATGAGGACAGCTAGCCGGTAATGGGGTAGGCAGCAGGAAATGGACACTAATGTTTATTCACTAAGTAGGTATCCTGTCCTGCCACAAGGACTAGGGTAGCACTTGAGTAGCCTGGGGCTAAAACTTCAGGTTTCAGGGCCACCATCCTGGCACCTGGCAGGAAGGAGGCAAGGCTGAGGCAGATTGCCAAGGCTTTCCCACCCACTCCCCTTTTCACAGCTGCTCAGTTCCTCACCAGGCCCTCACCAGCATGTGCTCTGCCAGCCAGCCCTCATCCCTGGCCAGGCGAGAGGCGATGCGCAGGGCAAAGCACTTCTTGCCCAGCAAGGAGTTACCACCATAGCCGCTGCCGAAAGAGACGATCTCCCGCTGGTCTGGCACGTGGCCAATCAGGGTTTTTTCCGGATTGCATGGCCATTGGCCCACAGGATCCTCTGGAGACAAAGGGGTCATAGTGCTGCTGGCACTGGCATCAGAATCCAGGGTGTCAGGGACTGGAGGGATCAATGATTGACCCAAGAGATACTTGGAAGCAATGGAATGCCCAGGAGTAGCTAAGCCCCCTTCTTCAGTACCCATCAGCCTTTGTGCTTTGTCAGACCTGGCAACTGACTTCTATTCCCCAAATGGTGGTTCTCCGGTCCAGAGTACCCTGGGCCTTGGGGAGTAATTGTTCCACATCCACAATTTATCTGTGGATGGGTAAGATTTGGGGGCTCCCTCTGAGTGGAAGAAGGTCTCAGTGTCTTAGATAGGTACTCACCATGTCCAGTCAGGGGCTGGCCCACTGAATGCAGACACTTGATGAAGTCACCATCTCCTAGGGCCTTTAGTACAGGTGTCCCCAGGCGGGTCATAATGCGCATGCTTGCCACCACATAAGCTGAGTCAGTGAGCTGCACTCCAATGCGGGATAGTGGGGAGCCCACGGGACCCATGCTGAATGGAAGGACGAACATGGTGCGGCCTGTGGAGGAAGATGTCGCTAGGAGGAAGGATTCCAAACCCAGTCATATCCTCAGTGCCCCTGCCTCAATGTCCCTGACTTGTTACCCTTCATGCATCCTGGAAATCTCTCGTCCACAGCTCTCTGGAACTCATCTGGGGACATCCAGTTGCCCAGTTGCCCACTGGCTCCACCAGCCAGGAGAGGCACTGTGTCCCGCTTCGAAGGAGTTACAATCACCGTCTTGCTTTCTACCCGTGCCACATCCTTGGGGTCTGTGCGGGCCAGCCAGCTGGGGGAGAGAGGATTGCCAGGAAATGGTGGCTAGCAGATTTCACTTATCTCCAGACTCACTTTTTTGTTATTTTGTCAAAGCAGGGTCTTACCATGTAGCTCCAGCTGTCCTGGAACTTACTATGTAGACCAGGCTGGCCTCAAACTCACAGTGATCCACCTGCCTCTGCCTCCTGAATTCCTGGATTAAAGGCATGCTCCACTAAGCCTGGCCACTTAATTTTTAAGTTTAGCTTTGACTCTAGGTCTGATGGACTTATGTTTTCTTATCCAATTGCAGTTTGGTCCCTTTAGACTTTGTCTCATTAAGAGGTGGTTTCCCCAAGGTGCAGCCTTGGAGCCTCTACCCCTGGCAAATATTTCATGAATCAGGAGGCAGGCAGTAGGTAGGCCCCCTCCAAATTGGAGTAAGAGCTCCAGTTGGTAAATCTGTATCAACTCTTCTATTTAATGTGAAAACATTCACTTCCTACTCCATTTCCCCTGAAGCTCCCATTCTGGCTCATTCCACTGTATGGTCTAGAAATAGCTCTGTCTTGGTGAACCTAAAGAGACCTCAGTCTAAGCAGTAACCTTCATCTTGGGGGTTGCTAGTTTCAAGGCTTACCAGTTCTCATACTTGGGGAGCTTCCGGATAAGACCCTGCTCTTCCAGCAGGGCCAGTGTGGCAGCGTTCTCAGCCTCAGTCCCATCACAGATATGGATGCCCTCTGGTTGGCACAGGTGGGCACTGCGCTCCACAAAGTCTCGAACTCCAGCCGGCAGCTGTCTCATATCTCCACTGAGCACATGCAGGGTTTGGATGCTGCGCCATGGTGACCAGCACCAGGGCCTCAGCCCGTGCCAGCTAAGCCTATCAGAGTCAAAACAGAGAGGCAACCATCCAGTGGCTATCACGGGAGACAAGTATTGGCAAGGGGCAGAAAGCCATGCCTCTGGAGAGTACTAAAGCGTGTCTGGTTGCAGGCACCACGAGACCAGGTTATGGTTGGTATGTGGAATGAGTTCATACTACTTGTATTTGTGGCCTTTATGAGGTATGTGTCTCCCATCAGGGAGGAGAGGTAGTCAAGTTGCTGGCCCAAGAGTCAAGAAATTGTCCAGATGAGAGCTTCATAAGTGATTTTTAAGAAGCTCATCCATGTAAATGGCAGCTACTCTTATCTTTCTCTTTCTGTGTAAAGGCCTCAAACAAAAGTCATAGCTCGAGATGGTAAAGCCCTCTCCCAGTGCCAGGCTTTAGGTTAGGATTCTCTCTTGAAGACAACTGATGTTGGGGTTTAGGTAGTGCATCTGTTCACCTGTGTCAACAAGACGACTACCTAAGGATCTTTTAAAAAGATCCTTAAGGATCTGTGAAAGCTGGATCAAGAAGAATAATGTCGCTGGCTGAGGGTCCATGCCTAGATTCCCAGAAGGGCAGGGTCTCGGTATTGTTTGTCCTGCTCTGTTCCTGAAAGATAGTAGGGTCTGCCGTGATTGATCTGGACCCAAGATAGCAAAGGCCATCATTGCAAAGAGATGTAGTTACTCTTCTCACAGGCAAAGCCTCACCTGCCAGAAACCCATAGTAGGCCATGATGGCATGAGCCTGTTCGTTCCCTGGCTCTCCTTAGGAGCCTTAGGGGTTGGTGGCAGGGTCAGAACGAGAGAGGACAGGAAGCTCAGGCCATAGGCTATATTGCCTGGGAAGGAAGAAAACGAAGCTCTTGGATGTGAGTTTGGGCCTGGGTGGGTTGTTTTCCAGCAGACAATAAAGGCAGCATGCCCTGTGTGGCCCCAGGGGATGGGGCACAACAAGGTAGGTCTCTTTGTGTGTTTTTCTGCCCAAGAGAGTTTCCCTGAGAAAGTAATTTTAAAGGCATGGTTTTGAAAGCTTTTATCCTCCAGGAGTTGGCTCCAGTTGTCTCATGGGAAGCACAGCTTCACCCAGACCCACCCTCATCCTCCTGAGTGCCTCTAAGAGGGATCTTCTTTCTATTCTTCATAGACTACTCTCAAATGGACTAACCAAGTAAAATCTGCATGGGAGAGATAAGGTGTCAGTTCAGACTCTGTGTCCAAGACCATGGAGAAAGGGGCATACAGAGAGGAGACCCAGTGGTAAGGAGAGGGGAGGGTCAGCCAGCCAGGACAAACCTGGGGCCCAGGACCTACCAGGGGAAGCCAGCCAAGTTAAAAGGAAGGCAGTTTGCCCTCCTCCCATCTTGCTTCCTTCCTTTTCTCCCTCCCTCTCTAGTCCCCAGAGGCTTCACTGGGCTTCATGCCAGGTTCCGTTCTTGTTCTCGGAGGCTGCAAATGATGTTTACCTTCTACCTTCTTTAGGGAGCTTTGAGCTCGGGTCCCCGGGGACTCAAGCCCTATGACCTCAAGGCCTTAATGGCTCCTCACACACTGAAGAGTGGACTGGGAGCCCCTAGTCTGAAAGAATTACATCTGGTAAGTAGAGCATTTGCAGAGATAGGGCTCCGGAAGGCAAAGGAGAAGGGGGAAGAGGTTGGCAGATAGAACAGCGCAAAAGCGGGCAGGGAGGGATAGAAGAGCACAGAGGCTGGGTGGGAAACCTGGCATGGCTGGGGATGGGACGGGGTAGAGGGGATGCACCAACGTGAGACGCAGACTGATGAACAGCTTCCCTGCCAGTCTCTTCCTAGGATGGGAAACAAGCGGAGGCAGGGAGCGGGAGTGGGCCCCGGACTATGGGTCACTCACCGCAGGCCGGGAAGGTACATAGCAGCCATGGCACCTGGACTGGCGCTGCGGGATGGCCACAGGAACCAGTGCAGTCGGGGAGACAAGGAAGGCGGGGAAGGAGGGAGCGTGGCAAAGCCAGAGGGAGCTGAGGTTGGGCGGGAGGCGCTTAAAAAGGAGGCGGGCAGTCGCTGGGGCGGAACCTAGCTGGTTCTCTCGCCCATCTGTAAGCTGGCTCACTAGCCCGGGCTCAAGGTCCCTGGCTCTGTGAAGCCTCCGCCCTACAGTCATCACACCCTCAAGCCATTGGAGGCCGGAGTTCAACTTGGGATCCGCCCACTTTGAGGCTTTGCCCTACGACCCGCCACGCCACGCTACAAGGATACTGATGTAACTTTGAAGGCTGTTGCTCCTTAGAGAAAGCAACCAAGAGACGTCTAATGCCAAACAAGCTAAGAATGAGGGATGAGACCAGGGCTGGGGAGCCCAGGTAACAAGATCCCCCAAACCTCGGGGACTAGGTTTGTTTTTCCAGGGCACTCCTAGCCTTAGGCTTTTCTTTTCTAGGGTCCCAGATGCTAAGCCCCCAGTCCTCAAATATTAACAAAACTAAACTGTTGCCTTTGCCCAGCTTCTTATCAAGGGAGTTTCCTCTAGCACCATGAAATTGGTGGGGTCTTTCAGGCTCACAGACATATCCTTATCAGAGGATCAGTCTCTCTCATCTTAGCCCACCCCCGCCTAATTTCAAAGAGTGTATTTGCCCTTATCTTGCCACCATCATAAAGTCCTTGTGTAATTTCTCAACATGTCGTTCCAACTTGAGACCACTGGGTATCTCCAGTCCAAATGTGATAGCAATTCAAACTCACTGCATCCATGGCGAACAACTGCTCAGATCCTCTTTCTGGTAACAGCACTTACGACTTTCTTTGGAGAACCATCAGGTCATGTGGGTCTGACCTTGCTTCTCTTGGGGCCAATTTGTGTGGCCCACACCTTGGTCACAGCACTCAGGATGTTCAGAGATGGGGGCATGAGATCCCTGCTGAGACTTTTTCTAAACTTTGGACATGGCTCATTTTCTGCTGGATTGCTGAGTCCGTAGAGTCTACGTTGGGCTATGTTGGATGTCAGCTTGGTAATGCAAAGCATGAACCTGCCTAAGACAGAAGCAGAGAAGAGACAAAGATCAATAGATGTCCCCTAACCACCCACAGTGAACTTTGTTGAGACATCTAAGGGCTTCTTAAGCCCCTTCTTTTATTGGGGGCTAGGATGGAAACTGTGAGTGGAGATGTTCAGTGTAGTGGGTCCTGAGTTAGGGCAGGGTCTCCCTGATAGCTGAGGGCTTTCTTCCTCTCCTGTTCTTGCTGGGGCAGGTGGTCCAGGGTTTCTTATTCTCTGGAGGCCATGTGGACCTAAATGGTCCTCTACTCTGTCGATGTAGCCAAATTATTTGTCATACCTGGACATGAGCTTGATAAAGTGGTTACTGAGAGCAATGCTAGCCCCACTATCAAGGGTAGAAAGGATGTTGCTGTTAAAGTCTCAAGAACCAAGGGATGCCCTTTAGGGAGCTCTCCAATGCCTGCTTCATCACCACCTTACATATGTATATATGTATATATGTATATATGTATATATTATTTACTTTTGAGACAAGGTCTCCCTATGTAGTCTGGCTGTCCTGGAATTCACTATGTAGATGAAACTGGCCTTGAATGCAAAGAGATCCAATCTGCTTCCCAAGTGCTGGTTTTAAAAGGTGTGTTTAACCACACCCAGTCACCACCTCTTGTCTCCCAAATGGCAGTCTTTTCCAGGTACAATGTCAGATCCAGGACGGACAGTGGAAGTACAGAGAAGGTTGTGTTAGTGAGCTTCCTGTTTAACTCAGGGATGACCTTTGTCCACAGCTTTGGCTGTACTGGAAAAGGAGGGATGTTTTGGGTAGCCCATGGCCATCACAGCACAGGGGGCCATCCAAGGTCTTCTAGAGAACAGTGGTCATAAATCCCTTGATGGATTACCTTGGCCTGGGGATAGCTAAGCAGACTGTGGTACAGGTGGCATTGATGACAAACTTGAATGAGTTGTTGCATCTCTCCTGGTTCACACCTCTTACAAACAGAAAAGGCAGAGATAATGACCCTTTGGGCTCCATCCTTCCAGTCAGTCCACGTTTCTTCATGACAGTGAAGACACCTGTAGACTCCACAACATACTTGGCACCAGCATCCACCTGATGTTGGAGAGATCTAATTCCGGGAAGATTAAAGACAAATTTCCCACTTGCATCCCAGACTTTACCATGGAACTTGCCATGGGTATAATCATCCTGGAACATGTAGACCACGTAGGTGAGGTCGATGAAGGGATCATTGATGTCATCAATATCTACTCTACTAGAGCTGAAGGCAGGCTTGGTGACTCTGCACCAATACAACCGGATCCATTCTTTCTAACTTTTCCGATCATGTCTCAGGTATTAGACTGGCACTTCGTGGAGGAGATTTGGCTGTTTCTGGAACTAGGTGGAGCAGAAAGCCTATATTCCTGTTATAAGAATGAATACATTTATTCTTTTTAAAAAGCTTATTCTAAGTAGATTCTGCTACTTTCAAAACAAATAATCTTGATTGTTAGTCTCCTCAGTGTTTCGTGCATAGAGAGAGATGACCTCTAAGGGTGCTCTGGAGCTGGCCTCCAGTGCTCCCCATCCCTGGCCTCCAGTGCTCCCCATCCCTGGCCTCTAGTGCTCCCCATCCCTGGCCTCCAGTGCTTCCCATCCCACTCCATTTGCACTTAATTTCGTGTATCTAGGCCTACTTTACCCCACACCACATCTGATAGTCCCTGCATCAAAACTGTCCACACCCACCCTGCCATCCCCACCTTACTCCTTACCTACATTGTAGGCCTCAGGGTGTTCACACTGGTGTCAGAATGTCCGACTCTTTGAAGGTCATCATTTTGTTCAAAATCTTGCTCTAGCTCCTGTGATTCCCTATCTCAGTGATAGTGTAGCAAGCTACCTCAGGGAGTATCTGAGTCAGACTAAAGGACTCTTTTCTAATCTTTCATAGCTAATTAGGCACCAGGACCTTTAGAAGGGTGAGCCACACTTTAGCACGGGGCTTATCTTTCACCTGGCTTCATGTGTTAGCTTCCAAGGATCTGCTTGGGCTTCATCTTTCGACACCCCATCTGTCTTTATGTACAGCGTCACATTGTATAGAGAAAGGATTGATATATATGGTGCGGGTAGCAGGTGCTAGGTTCTGTGCTAGCAGGTTGTGTACAAGTCTCATTCAGTCTGCAATAACTTTATCTTGCAGATGTAGACACTGACGGTTAAATAATTTGCTCCGAGTTGCAAATGTGGTTGGCTGGAGAAGTGGAACTTGGTTCCAGGTCTTTCCGACTCTAATTATCCAGGGTTTTTTCCTTCCCTGAAATCCTATTATATACTATCTCATCAGTTTCTTGTGAGCTAGACCCTATCTCAAAAAACAAATGGGGAAAAAGGAAGAATCCAAAGAATCTAAGACTAGGCGTAGGCCTAAAGTCCATAATCTGCCCCTAGCTATCTGAGTGATCACCTCCACCTCCCTTCTGGCCTACCTGCCATTTCTCTGCTTTGTAGAGAGAAGAATCTAAGCAAACTGAGTCTTGCTTTAAACTGTCCCCTACCAGTGTTTCCCACAACATTCCCTTGACAAATGACGATTGCATGAAAGAATGATCCCACATTCTTTTTTCTTTTGGGGACAGTTTCTCTATAGCCCTGACTGGCCTGGAATTGCTGTGTAGAACAGTCTAGCCAGGCCTCCCGAGTGCTGGAATTTATGTATGTATGCAGCACCACACCCAGCAAGACCTGCATTTCTTCAGTTCTTTCCCACAACTTCCATCCTAGCTTCAGGGAGCAGAGTGTGGACATGCTGTAGGATTTTCTTCCACTATTGTTGCTTGCTCCAATCTTCTTCAGCCTGCTCCTCAATCCTCTGCCTGCTCCCCCAACTCTGGTCTGCTTCCCCAGCAACTTCAGATTGGACACCAGCTGGCACTGTGTCCAAGCAGTACCACCAGGGGGCAGGGTGTGACCAGCCTTATCTTGCACTGTGGATTGTTTTGTTTGTTTTTCTCCTTCTTAGGGACAATTGTGGTTTATGCCGTGGATGTCTCACAAATTGGCTAGAGATGAGAACAGTCCCAATTTATCTAAGAGAGATACTTAAAAACATGACAGTAGCTGGGTACGGTGGCACATGCCTTTAATCCCAGAACTCCATACTTAGAGGTTGGCAGATCTCTGTGAGTTTGTGAGTTCAAGGCCAGCATACATAAATTCCAGGCATCTACAGAGGTCCAGGACACCTGAAGCTACACAGAGAAATCCTGTTTTGAAAACCCTCAGAGAGAGAGAGAGAGAGAGAGAGAGAGAAACCATTACTTAGCAAGTATTCAAGTTTCATATACATCTGCATTTTTCTTACACATACATACCTATGATAAAATTTGATATATAAATATTCATAGTAAGCGATTGATAATAAATCAATCAGGGACTGAGATGATGGGCAAAGTCCCAAGCAGACATGAGAAACTGTATTTGGATCCCCAGCACCCAGGTAAAAAGCTGGGCTTGGTGGCAGACATCTTTACTCCTAGTGCTGAGAGTCAGGGACAGGAAGCTTCCCTGTTCACTGGCCGGTAGGTCTAGCCAAGTTATAAATTCCAGGTTCAGTAAGAGACCCTTTCTCAAAAAATAAGGTGGCGAGTAATAGAGGAAGATACCTATGCTGATCTCTGGACACACATGCGCGCGCACTCACACACGCACACACACACACACACACACACACAGGCATGCATTCAAATCTGGTCTGTGTGGCACATGACTATAGTCTGAGTGCTGGGGAGACAAAGACAAAAGGCTCTCTGGAACTTGCTGGACAGTCAGTCTAAATGAATTTGTGAGCCCCAGGTTCAGGGAGAGACTTGTCTTACAACATAAGGTGAGCAATTAGGTAAAGCATTTACCCCTGACCTCTGGCCTCCATGTTCGTAAATGAAGGTATGTATCTGTATACACACATGTACACATGTGAACATGTACATACATATGCTACATACAGCTACTGAAAGAAATAGGTTAAAAATAATAAGAGTGAGACAGGCCTTATTTGGGAATTTCACATCATGCACCCTGGTCACATCCACCTCCTAGTTTTCCCATGTC